ATCCATCCATCAAAGACTTAACCAACCACACTGATTGTTTTAACCACCAGGCATTGGGCTTAGATAAACAGGAAGGACTAAGACCCTGAGCATAGCGAGGCTTTGAGTTTCTGTATTTTCAGGTTCTGCCCTAGATTGATATATATATATATATATTTATGTGTGCATATCTGTATGTGCATATATATCTGTATATACGCATATGTGTATATCTATTTACACATATAGATATTTAAATCTTGTATTGCTATGTGTGTTCTCATGGATAAAATTCTTAGGACTGATGGCCAGAGGGGGACTTGACTCATTTGTGTACTGCATGTGGTACCCATGCAGTACAGCATGACAGCATCTAACAGATGCCCCACAACTTCCTGTAGGAATGATCGACTCCAGCTCAGCATCTCAGCGCCTCAGATGCTGCCTGCTCCCTTTCTTTCTGGTGCCCGACATACAGGACACATCTGGTGCCTAGATGATGTGGGCAGATGCATTCAGGAGAAGCTCTCAGTGGCTCCTCTGCTTGAACTGCTGGGTCCGGTCCACCATGCAAAGCTCACATGAGAACCAACAGCACAAACCAGAAAGTTTCACATTGACATGATAATGAAAGGCAGCAGTGTTTTACAGAGCACAGGAAGTCTCTCCGATGCCAAGCAGCACACTCTTACCTCACAACCAAACCTGAGATTCTGTTCTGAGTCACATGAAGTCAATGTTTCGGTATCAATAAACTATCTCTCTCCAAAACTAGAAGGGCAATCCGTAGAGAGGTACGGAAGGCAAACCTGGGTCTTGGATTATTTTTCAGACTCATCCTTTTCTCTTGGTGACCCTACCTTTAAAACCACAGTATCACAGTTTAAAAGGTACAGGAAGGTACAATACAGGAAGTCAAGATGCTGTAACTACAGCATCCTTCTCTCTTTAAGACATTTACAAAAAGCCACTGCCTGGACAGCCATTCAGCATTCTTGATACACACAAGAACGCGGTTGAATTTCCAGATAACTGCATCGCGTGGTACCCCATTAATATGTACACTCTTTATGTTTTTATGCATCCGTAAAAATAAATTTAATTCCCCAAACTAACCTCCCAAAGGGTTCATCTAGATGATTCTATTTACATAAAATTCTGGAAGAGACAAGACTCTGGGGATGGAGCACGCATGAGTGGTTGGGAGGCACCAGAGCTGGTGGGTGGGAGGTAGGAGACAGTAGATGGAGCTATAAAGGGCAGTCTGGGGAGTCCTGTGGTGATGAACATTCTAGACCCTGACTTTTCACATCATTAGCAGGGCTGAAATCTTCAGCTGTATTTTGCAAGGTGGCACTATCTGAGGAAATGGAGTAAAAGTTTTGTGTATTTTTGTTTCTTATAAAACAATCTTTAAAAACAAGAAAGACATGAGAAAGTTCATACTTCCTGACTTCAAAACATACTAAAAAAAAATTGTAAGAATCAGACAACATGGTACAAACATGAAGACAGACACACAGAGCACTGGACCAGGAAAGAACCCTCAGAAATAAAGCCTCACATACAAGCCCATGATGGTCAGTAAGGATGTTATCACCACTGGACCAGGGCAAGGGCACTCCAGAAATGGTGGGGGGAAATTGAATATCCATATACAGAAGTATGACTGGACCTCACCTTACTGCATAGACAAAAATGGACTCAAGAGCTGGCCAAGGTGTGCATAAATGAGTTAAAACTCAAAGAAGAAAATATGATGTTTGAAAGGGGCCACAGCATCAGTTTTGGCAGTAATTTCTTATGCCTGACTCCCAAAGCACAAGAAAGGAAAGAAAAAAAATAGACAAATTAAACTTCACTGAAATGAAAAATTCTATGTATCAAAGAATATAGCAAGGTCAGTGATGTAACTTAATGTAGAGTGTTTGACTCGTAATGTGTGAGGCTTTGGGTTTGAGATCCGGCAACACCCGCCCCCCCCCCCCGTGCCCACACACACACACCACAGATGTACTCAACAGAGCTGAAAGGTCACTTACAGGATGAGAGAGAAATATTTTCAAATGACATATTTGATACAGGGCTAATCCTAGAACATACTTCTGTCTCATGGACACAAAACAAGTTAGCCGATCAAAAGGACGGGGAAGGGGTTCCGCAGAAGGCATCAGCTAGCAAGCAAGGAAAGGAAAAGGGTGTAGGTGTCCCAGATCACGGGGAGAAGAGAGTCAAAAGTCACTAAGATCACACCTCCCATCTGTGAGTTTGGTAATGACCAAACCAAACAAAAAAGGTAAGTGTTAGTGAGGATTTGAGAAACAGAAACCCTTGAGCGCTATTCGTGGATACTTCAACTAGCGAAAACAGCATGGCTGTTCTTTAAAAAAAAAAAAAAAAAGAATTACAGCATGACCCACGAGTCTTAACTTTTTGGCATTGAACAGAAGAATTAAACACAGTGGCTCTCAGAGACGGTTGCACACCTGTGTTTTTAACAGCACTTATCATATTATCTAAATTATGGAAGCAAAGCAAGCACCCATGCATGGGTGGAGGAATAAATATAAATAAATAAAATATGTATAAATAAAACATATCGTATACATATACTGGAATTTTATTCACCCTTAAAAAGGAAAGAAAGTCCGATCCACGCTACATGGATGAGCCTTGAGGGCATAAGGGTAAGTGAAGAAGGCCAGTCCCGATAGGCAAACTCCTTGGCTCCACTCACATGAGGTGCCTACATTGTTATGTCTTACAGACAGAAGGTAGAATGGTGGTTCCCGGGGTCTAGGGGTGGGGGAAGGGGAAGAGTTATTGAGTGAGTACTGAGTTTCTGTTCGGCAAGATGTAAAGTATTCTGGTGATGGGCTGCACGAGAAGCATGAAGGAATACTTACGCCACAGAACGGCACGCTCAAAATAGCCAAGACGGTAAATTTCATGTCCCGTGCAGTTTACCAAAATTGAAAACGTCCACCACCAAGCGTAATTAAAAGAAAAAAAAAGCTTCTACGTTCTCCATCCGAGCTCCTGTCACTGCGCTTTAGTTTTACAAACCAAGGAGAACAGAGAAGCAGCCCATCACCTAATTAAGCCTCAGAGACTCACAGGCCAGAGATATTGGCACACTGAGGTTCTCTAATGCTTTAATTAACTGCATAATCCACTTGGACTCACAGGCCCTCAGCCTGTGTTGCTTAATTCACCCAAAGTTACTATCAACTTTTCAGTAATAATTAAAAATGTGTTAGTTATTTATATTGACACTTGACCTTAATGGCTGCAAATGGCTAAGTTGGGGCCACTGATTAGTCACGAAATAGAAAGCCGGGCCTTCTGACTGTCTTCCAACGCTCTTCTTAATTTGTCTGGTTCTGACAGACTCCAACGAGAATGAGAGGGAGACCTTGTCCATTTAGTGTGTGTGTCTGTCACCACATGTAAACACTTAATGAACTTCTGTCAACTCAAGGAAGCCAGCGCCGCAATGGGTCCTAAACAGCCACGTGTGTCTGTCCTAAACAGCCATGTGTGTCTGTCCTAAACAGCCACGTGTGTCCTGCTCACAAATATTCATACAGTCACAGCGTTTCTTTCTGCACATCATAGATAGGTTGAGCTTGGTGATTAACTGTAACTAGGAAGAAAATCAAAAGGAGTTTCCAGGAAAACTTCATGGGTTAAAAAACAAACAAATCGCCGGGCGGTGGTGGCGCACGCCTTTAATCCCAGCACTCGGGAGGCAGAGGCAGGCAGATCTTTGTGAGTTCGAGGCCAGCCTGGGCTACCAAGTGAGTTCCAGGAAAGGCGCAAACCTACACAGAGAAACCCTGTCTGGAAAAACCAAACAAACAAACAAACAAACAAACAAACAAACCACCACTCTTGAGAAGAGAGAGAGACACATTCTATTTTGGCATGATTAATGATGGGTTCGATCAACTCTACAAAAAGTGAGAAAAAGACTCGGGCGCGGCCGGCTTGCATACTGTGCAGAGACCCCTATCCACGTACGCGGCCCTCATCACGGGCACAATCCTCACCTCTCACTGGAACTTAGGCTGCCTCAGCTGCATGCTACACTTTTTCCCAGTGAGCCACAAAGTCACCTTTTCTGCTTCTACCGGAAGGGCATCATTTTTCACAATTACCAAGTTTTAATTTCTTTTATGCGAACGTGAAGCCTTTGATGTATTGAGCCAATTATGTGAAACTTGGTTAAAAATGAACCCAGAAAAAAAAAAAAAAAGGTTGTGTGTGGGAGGATTTGGGTTGTAAGTAAAATGGGGAATTTTTTTTTAAAAAAAAAGAAACCCAGAGTAGTAGTTATCATCGTCATCAAAGGGGGATTTTTTTTTTTCCATTATCAACACAGAACTGGAGTCTGACCTGTGAAGACTGGTCGGTTCTGTTGCTCTTGTTCTCCTTGGCTCTTCCTCCTCCTGAGGTCTTGGGGGGTTTCTCCACGGTGAGGTGGCAGAACTCCTACGTTGGAGAACAGCCCTTCAGCATCAGAGTGAAACACACAGGAAGAGGTGGGGCTGGGCGCGCCCCAGCATTTGATTTACCTGATTCCTCTCATAATCGGACGGCTCGCAGGACGCGAAGGGGTGGATGCATCTTTGGTCCCGTTTACACCAAGCACAGGCAGTTTCGATACACGCCACGCATCTGGCAACAGGGAAAACCGACTTAATTCTTACATTTTTTAAGGGGCTTATTCATCTTCTAGATTTTTTTCCTCTGTGCTGCTACATGCTAAGAACATGAAAGAATAGGAATACTAACAGTCATAATAAAATCTTTGAACAACCTAGGATGGACAGAGGGAGAAAGGGTGGTCCTCTAAGCCTGGGGCAGAGAGTAAGGCTTTGTGTCCTTCTCTGGGAAGCCCTGCACACAAGTGGATGGATTGCCATCACACTTTCAGAGGTGTTGCCATGGAGACCTGAAGCCGGGGTCACCTGCTGGTCGGCCGATAACAGGAACCCACTGAATCTGCTTCTGAACCCGGTTGCTACTGGTCCACCCTCAGGTAAGCCTCGCTAAAGATGGATCTTCTCCCTCCCTGCTGCCGCCACCGGCTCAGCAGATCAGCGGGCCCTCACTCAGTGGAGCAGCTGGGCTACCAACCACACGGTGGGAGACACAAAGCGTTACCTGGCAGCCAGAGAGGAGGGGTACCACTGTTTGCTTTGCACTCAGCTGAAGGGAGAACTGTGTCTACTAATCTAACGAGCCCCTGTGCGTGGGTCGCTGGGGAGGACTTGAAAAGCACGCCTAAGAATGATCAGAGTTAACGACGAGATGGTAGACAGAGAAGGAAAAATGGGGGCTGGTCCGGAAAAGCTGTCCAAGGGATGCCACAACAAAACACAGCAGGAGGGGATGAGGAGACGACGCAGAGTGGGGCACCTAGGCTGGAAGCATTAGGCTCCAAGCATTCCAAGATCCTAACCTACAGAAAGTCACTCTCCGAGGCCTGGAAACAGCTCTCTATTCCGGTGGGAGCCTCTGCCCCAGGCAGGCTTCCATATAGCAAGCTGCTCCCTGAAGAGAGACACTCTGAGGTCTGACTCTTCCTTGCCTAGCACTGGGGTCAGTCATTTCCTTCTATCTGGGCTCTAAAGCAGGGGTTCTACAGAAAGACATCATTCAACGCTCCTGGCGCCCCTAAGAATCTATTTCATTCCCTATAATCTATAAGAATGAATCTATTTCATTCTTTCTTCCCTTTTCCTGTTGGCTGGGTTGGAGACTCTCCATAACAAGTTTTCTATTTTTCTCCCATCAATTTGTTTCTTAGACATCACGGATTCCCCGTTTGTGTGATCACCTTTCAATGGACCTCTTTGGTAAAGATGACCTAACAATCTGAATTCACTTTCCCTATAGTGATTCCCAGGTCAGGCTCAAAACCACGCTCACATGCTGTTGGCCAATCACACCCCAGAATGAGTAACAGACCTCTAATAATACAGCCCACTAACAACATGTTCTGTCCCAACTTCAGAGGGCGGGCCTCTGAAAAGTCTGGTTCCCCTGCCTTCTCTCTGCTTTAGGAGCCAGGAGGGAGCTGTGGTCCAAATTCAAAGGGTTCATAGCTGAAAGGGGGCAGTCGTAATAAAGGAAGACACAGGGCTGGGGTAGCTAAGAGGTAGAACACTTGCTTAGCATGCTCAAAGCCCTGGGTTCGATCCCCTAGCACCACAGGAAGGGAGCAAAATGAATATGTCATTTTGGTGAGGGAAACCTCAACTTGCCTGACTTGCTTGTCTTTATGCTCTGGCCAAACTCCCAAAAGCGATTTGCATTATGGGAGAGCCTAGCAGTGGTCCTTACTTCAGGGGTCCTCTATGTCTGGGGGAAAACACCGTTCCCTGTTGATAGAGACACCTAGGCGCATGCTCTCTCCTCAGCTGCTCCAGTTTTCTTGTTAGGGCTTGAATGAGCGAGCACAGCTTATTACCTCAGCGGCTCTCCTAGCTCCCGTTAGGCCATGCTCCAAAAGGCACTTTGGAAAGTTCTAGCCCGCAGAAGAGTTCTTTAGGAAATTGAGGAGTCAAACAGATAAATTAAAAGCAACGAGAACATTTCGATTTCAAAGCCAATCTTACTCTTTTAATGACGCACAGTTGGTAAAGTTGAATCTTTCTGATAAGTTCCAAGACGGGAAGGAGAACGTCGCGTTGACAACCAAGACATCTGGAGGAGAGGGAGGAAAAGGGAGTCAGTCACGGTGGGTTCCCGCCATAGTCCAAGCACAGCTGAAAAGGCAAAAGAAAGAAAGAAATATTCTCGCCTTTTCTACATAGAGGGCACGGGTGTACCAGCTGTTCGCCAACATTTGAGTCAGTATGTGGCTTCTTCCCTGCGGGCCGTTCATGCCAGGCAGCCAGAGTGCACAGCACAAGCCTCCAAACGGGCTGAGCCTGTCGCTAGCTCCAAGGCACCCACAGATAATCACCAGGAAAAGCCATTTTACAGCCCATTTGCATCCCATGCTCTCGCTGGGATCACTACCTCGGCTTGTAATTGGCCAAGGCATGAGAATAAAACAAGTCACCGAGCAAGAAGTGCCTGGAATATAAACACCAGCATGCTGGAAAAGAAACCCTGCACCTTCAGAAAGATCCATACTCTGCAAATATTGACCTAACAAACCCTAAGTGTGGTACCCCGCGGTGAGACCCAGTAAGCTCCTAGGAGTCAGCTGTTGTCAGATGAAGGTGTTTTTTTTTTCTTTTCTTTTTCTTGTTGTTGTCTGCTTTTGAAAACCTTATCCATTGGTTGGAAAACTCCAAAAGAACAAAATGAGGGTAAAACCTATGCTAGGTCAGCAGTAAAAGAATGCCATTTTCAGTGTTTCCTTAAACCTCCATGCTGGATCTGAAGCATTGATACCCAAACCCAGCCGTTGATCAGAACCACAAGAACTTTAGGGAAATAGCAATACCAGGACTACACTCCAAGACATCATGACTCAGCAGAGCTGAGGTGGGTCTCAGAAAACCTGTATACTGTAATGTCCCTCCCAACATAATGAGCACACGGACCATCGTTTGAGTACCACGATCCACAGCAACATCCTTCAAGTCCTCTTATGTCCAAGCAAGGACCGGTGTTACTACAGAGGAATTAATATCTTCTTACTTATAGGAATTCATTGGGGAATAGAACATTGGGCTTGTTAAGTGGAAGTCTTGAGATTGTGAGAAGCTGACCTGACGTTGTGGACATCCCTAAGTTCCTTCCTGAAACTTTATTAGTGTGCGATTCACAAAGTCTAAGGATTCATACATGGCGATGCCTCTCTCCAGCACAAAGACTTACTCCGATGGCTAGAATTCCACAGAACATTCTGCTCACGTCAAATAGGCTTAGGTGAAATGATAATCTTTTGTTCTAAAGACAGGGAGGTCCGGAGAGCTGCCATGACCTCTTGGCAGGAGCACCTGAACAGACACTTGACGCATGTTAGGGACACCAACACATGGCCATTTAGCACTGAGGGACTCCCAGGGAAAATACATTTCCATAGAACTGACAAGCGTCCAGGGAGGATGCCTGCAGAAGGCAGACTGCACAGGGCACCAACCGTGCACAGCACGTTGGAAATTTCACAGGGAAATGAATATTCACGAGCTCTCCTTTGGAAGCACTTACAGTTCTCCTAGAAGACGTAAAATAGCCAAGGTGAAGGAGACACAGAAGTCAAGGGTATACCATGTGAGTAGTTTGAGCTCCATGTAGTATTTGGGTGCAAGATAGGGATGCCTGTGGAGAACCAGGGGCATGACACTATGACTGGCAAGACCAGATCAGGCTAACAAGGCTGTATGGGAGAAACAAGACCTTTCTCCAATGTTTCAAAGTGTATGGGAAACAGGACTTGACAGCAGAGGTGAGGCCAGCCAAGATTGGCCATGAAGCTAGACATGATGGCTGGAGCTAGACATGACAGCTCATATATATAATTCTAGTACTCAGGAGGCTACATTGGAAGGATTTGCTACATAGTGGAATCCTCTCTCTCTCTCTCTCTCTCTCTCTCTCTCTCTCTCTCTC